TTTTTGTCAGAATCTTTTTCTTTCAGCTGCTCCCTTCTGCACGGATCACCAACACAAACAAACTCGATGAAAGATTTGGAAGTTGTTTTACGTAAAATGCCATGATGCAATGATGCTCAAGTCCTCAGAAAAGAGGAAACTTGAATTAGGCAGTCTCTCGTTGAGCCAAATACTTTGGTCGGGATCAAACAACTATGACTTACTGAGAACTAATCTTGTAAAAGCCTTTTATTTTTACTACATGGAGAGCAGGTGACTAAAATATACTTTTACTAGAAGTGCTTCTATGTTTAGACTGGAGGTAAGATTAGGAAATAACCGATCAAGTTCAGAAACATGCAAAATGGTTTCTTTAAAAAAAATGTTTTCAACTTCTGATTTGCACCAATTACAATATTTTTATTGGATATGAAGCATGTTTTAATAAATCAAATTATTTATGGGTTTAAAAACGTAACATCTACATTACAAGGCCACGTGTACATGATGATTTTGATCATGACAGCAGACTCTTTTTTTTTCTTATGTCATTTATTATCTTTAAGACTGGAGTAATATGGACCTTGATTATAATATTAATGTTCAGTTATCTTTTAACCTAACGTGCATCAGTACTTTTTTTTTTGCTTTATTGCAAAGAAAATGTTTATAGAGTTAGAATATTCTGCATATTATGTATTTAAATTCTGCCAAGCAGTTTTCACTTTGCTCAGAATATCCTGCAGTTCAAGAATATTGTCTGACCGAATATTGTATTTTATGTTAGATGTCTGCATCCAAACATCACATGCAGGTCAACGAGAGCAAGAGACTCTATACATTGTAAAAAAAACGTTTAAAATGATGAGCGGTTGGAGCATATTTTCTCATCTGAGCCACTCTCTGTGCAGCGGTAATGTTATGTCTAACTGTCAGGATGATTTCTTTTCATTCTTGCATGTGATGAGTTTATTTTTGTCCAGTGATGGGCGCTCCAGCCCGAAAACCTGACACCAAAAAGGAGTAAAATTCAACTCTGGTCCAGCAGCTGACTTAACAGACACATATCTGTCACTTCTGTGAACAGGAACTGTTTGGACGAGTCAGGAGATCAACGGACTTTTATAGTTTCGAGATAAGTTATAATATCAAAACTTTCTGAGTGAACGGCTGATGCTATATAATGTTTCAACATTTCTTTTTGAATTTAATATTTCTTATTGAATATAAAAAAAATACACACCATGCTTAAAACCTTACCTTCCAGATTTATAATCCATTATTTGAGAGCTGTTCATTAAAATCCTTAAATGGCTCCTTGGCCCAAAAATGGCCCTATCTGTCTGGTCCTGAACGGTCACCTTACACAACCGCACCCTGGCAGCTCCGAGTCCTTTACGTCAACAGCCTTCCAAAGTACAATCCTCCACAGTGAGGTCTGTGAGCCTCTGACCAGCCACGGGCAGCAGGATTTGGGACAGGAGACCAGACGGAAATAGAGGAGCTGTCCCAGAGAGAGTGTCCACCATTGGGGGGGATAGAATGAGAGCTTGAACTAGCATCTGCAAGTTCCCTTGGTGTCAAGTGTCAGAAGGATGAAACAAACAGCCACTCAACTATTTATAAATCTGGATAGCTACTGTTGGTCATTAGAAGTGAGAGCTACGGGTGCAATTCACTCATGAGGCTGTGGTTTAAAATTAAAATAAAAAAGGTGAAGAAGTGTTTGGTTCTGGTGAGAAACAGCCGTTTGGAAGACAAGTGGTCTCACATCCGAGTCCAGTCCTCCACACTGAGCAGAACTGAGGGACACTACAGTGTGTAGTAAATAAGTGGCCCTTCGTCACCACCCACCACATCACAGCAGACTGAATGAAGCTTTCTTTAAATGCAAGTGAGAGATATATATATTTTAAAGCTTTGCCTCAGATTTCCATCAACTGTTTTGTACAGAAGCACATCAGAGTTTTGTCTTAATAAAAATTCTCCACTGGCTGTCTATTTCCACGTCTAAGCTCCCTGAATACAGCTTTGCTCACCCCAACAGAAAAGGCCGTATGGCAGTGGAAGGGGAAGAACCGTACCTCCCCCTTTGACCCCCTCGTTCCCCTCTTCCCTCCTACTGCTCAAAGCTATAATAGGAAATTGCTGTAGCGGATAGTTTCCAGGGACTGTTGGCGGCTGCAGCGCTGGCTTGGTGGGATGATGGACACACACACATGGGTCTTAATGGAGACGCACTCTTTCACATATGCACACACACACCTCAAAGAAACAGACGAAAGGCTGAGGTAAATCCCTTTAAACTTCTTCCTTTCCTCCTAAAAAAAAATCACATTTTTATCCTCAAACATTTGTCTTTAGATATATTTTATGCTGAATGAAAAATCTGCTCCACAGATCTCAACTTAAAACCTAAATTTGCTGCTATGTCATTTTTGTTTTCTTCAAATTTTCAGTGCATTGCACTTTTTTTTAACAGTGTGTATTAATCACAAGTCAATATACATGAAAAAAAATCAGAAAAACAAAATAATTGCATGTCCAAAACATGAGTTCTTGAAACTATACAAATAAAAGGTATGGACAAATTTCTTGCTCACTACTTCCCTCTAGCGGACAAAGTTGACTTCTGAGTTTTTATGTGCTGTGCAAAACATGTAACATTTTTTTTGACACTTTATCACAAAGCAACTTTGCAACTTCAACATAGTTGCATTGAAAAGCCAGGGAGGACTGTAAGCATTGATCACATGCGCTGAGGATGCTCTTCCCTGTGCTGAGTAAGGAAAAGCAGAGCTGTGGTTATGTGGCAGACTGCAGACACATTACTTTCTGCATTAAGACATGCTTTGTTTGTATAATCTTCTTTCAGACATGAACGTAACTGATTCTAATTGATTGTGTTATTGATCAGCGCTGTAGCAGGAATTAAAAGCAGAAATGATACTTCAGTCGGTTGTTTTGGGCCTTCACGTTTTGTCTAACTTTGAGTCTAAGTTAGTAGTTCAGTTCGTGTGTTGCACCAGATCTGTGAGTCTTTTTGGAGTGTGCAGGCTGTTTCTGTGTTTCTTACATTCTCCGTGTGTGTGTCAGATGAGTGCATATGTGCACAGGCCACATTTCCCCCGCATCCTTGCAGAAAAATATTTCATTACCGCAACAAAAGAAGCCCATTAACTGCAATGTAAAAACAGAGTTCGACTACTGTCCCCCCACATTCACCACGTTCATCTGCGTTTCTGGCCGCTCTCCAGCTAATTTGATGTAACAATGCTCGACAAAACCGTCACCGGACTTTTTTTTTTTTTTTTTAGGTGACTGAGAAATTATCAATGATGCCACATGCACAGCTGAATGTCAACACCAACTTGACTTGTTTATAAAATATTAAAGCGGTGAATTATGGGCGCCATGCAGAACTTAATGATGATCGGAGTCATTATAACTTCAGCATCCTTTGTTTTGGGAAATGATTCAATTCCACTGTGACTGTAGTCAATTTTGGAGAGACTAAATGTGTTTTCCACATCTTTTGTTTGAGGTGACTAGATTCAGCTGTTCATTCTGCTGAGTTTTAGAAGAGGAGCTAATTTATATATGGATATTGTTTTATTGTTAGCTGCCATATCACCGTGATGCACAATATGTCTCTATAGAGAGATAAGGATCTTTTATTCCGTTAAACTGAGTGCTGAACTAATTATGATTATTTTTGTGTGTAAAATGTGCGCCAGTAAAATAAAATTAAATGAGTCTTGAGGTTTCAGCTTATGAAAGCATCACTTTATTGGTATAGCCTTGAGATATTTACAACATGCACACACATTGATGCAAAATAAGGAAAAAAAAAATAGTGTTTTGTGTACAACCTGGCACGACTTCTGACATTATCTCCCTCTCGATGTCACCAGGGTGTTGCCTCATCAATTATTGAACCAGTACTTCATGGTAATACATAATTTCTCATCTATTATTCATGGTAATGTGTGTGTAGTTTACTTAATTGTGTTATTGACTATCAAAAGTAATTTCCTGTAAATCCTCAAGGACGCAAATTGAATCAGCCAAACTACTGGCCGCGTGCTCCGAGGTTAAGTATTATCAATCTGATCAGCTGATCCTCCAACTAGTGCAGAGACATATTCACTGTAGGAATCAACAATTATATGTTTTGTCACGATCAAACTTTATGAACAGCCCTGAGGTGAATTTTCAAGGTATAAATTTAAGAAATAGCGTATATAAGCTTTAATTGGATTTAACAATAAAAATGTTCAGGGTGAGAGGAAGGGAAAGCGTTTCTAAAGGTAAATAAATAATAAGAGTACCAATCGCTCTCCACTCCTGGCTTTAAGAGGAGCTGATAAATAATGTATCAGAACAGATGGCTGCAGCGAGAGGCAACAGGAGAGAAACATGAGCGACTACATCTTTAATTGTTTTAAAGAACGTGTCACAACAGGACTGGTGTGTTTGCTGTCTGCTGGCACCGCAGATGTGCTAACAGAGTGGGGGTGAGGGGACTGACAGTTGCCGCCTTCCGTTCACGCATAAACAAACTGTACATTTTTACAACAACAAAAAAAAAGAATGGCTGATTAGTGTTAAAGTGCACATTCACTTCAAAATAAAATAAAAAATAGGAGGCCATCTTTTGCCAAAGTCTTGCAAAATCTCCAGTCCTGCCATGAGTTCAACGCCCACAGTCTTCATGCATTGACAGTCACAATGTAAAGAACAGTTTTCTTCAAGAAAACAAGCGATATGAGGATTAATTAAATTCACATTGTCAAAAAGGGTCTTCACTGCGCACGTCTAATGTCGTCCGAGAGTGCGTGGAGACAGACGAACATCCAAAACTACAAGTTATGAGGGTGACGCGACCCCCAGTTATTGAGTAATTCTGATCACCTGGTCTCATAAATATTTTATTGTTTGCATCCAGACAGTGTGGTTTTAGAAAAGTCTGTCCCAGGATGGTTCTGGAGTCAGCCATGTTGTGCTTCGTTGCTCATCAGAGCCGAGTAGATTAGGAATACCAGGCACAGATTATCAGTACATCCACACGTGTGTCCAGCGCCTCACTTTTTCTCCAGCGGCTCCTTGGAGCAGTGAGCGTGTTTGTCAGGACCGCCGCCCATGACCGGGACTTTTGTGGCCGTGCTGGGACTGGAGCTGTCCCCCGCTCTCACGCCAGCGCCGGGCACCTCGATCGGGGGACCCACCGTGGGTCTGACCACCCCAGCCGCGCTCACGCCAACCCCAGAGAGGACTCCCACACCGGGTGCAGCTGCTGCGCTGAGGAGGTTGGCCGACTGCAGCACAGCCTCCGAATGCTCGCGGGCCTTCATGCGCAGGGCGGCCACGCTGGCTGTGCGGTTTCCCTGACAACCGTACGGTGGCAGGAAGGACAAGCCCATGGGGTCAGAAACACAGCAGGAGCACAAACCGTTTCCTAAAGGAACACCAAAACTTCAGCGTACTGTGATTTGAAAAGCAAATCGTAACGTTGATGAGGATCCAGTTTACCTTTCAGGGTGGCAACTTGTGAGAGGGCCTGGGCGTAGGTGGCAGAGTTGAGGAGTGTACCCGGAATACACGATGGAAAGAACGGACCACCTGGACCCACTGTCCTGTTGATACTGAAAAAAACAAAAAACACATTCAACACAAAATATGTTAGTTCTCTAGCATACATAGTTACATTCTCTAACTATTTAAATTAATAAATGAACTAAATAATGAAAAGTTATTTAACGCTGTCATTGACTATAAGACAACTAGACAGTTAATTTAAATCTAAATAATTGATTAAACTATCTTCAGGTCTGTCAGCACTGAAGTCACTTTAATCATTTGGGGTTTGTTAGCATTTGTGGATCTTTTCCTGGTTCTTACAGTTTTTATTTTTTAAATATTACTAAAATAAAAGTGACATATTTAGGGGTTAAATGCATGAAATGAAGAAATTTGTTGGGGGATGTTGTCTAGTTTGCATAAATACTTTTAGGTTGGGAATCCTTTTGTTAATTTTATTTGTAAAGTTGATTTGTAACTCCTGACTGAGGACAACAGATAAAAGAAATGGTGCATTTATCTAATGATCATTAATGTACATGGTATTTCATAAATAAACCAATACAATGAAATGAATAAATGTTAATGTTACTGTCTGTAATGAATTTCCATTTCCCTGATCCTGCAGTTTGACATTGTTTCCCAGCAGTCGTGCGTCTTCTCTCACCTTTGCTGTATCTCCAGTGGTTCTTTCTGTTTTCTGTTGTGGTCCACGGGGGACTGAGAGTTGATGCTCCGGGATGGAGGACTTCCATCACTCATCTGCTCCTTCCCTCCTTCTGGGTCTGAACTGCCCCGCTCTGTCTTCCTCCACTTGGCTCTGCGGTTCTGAAACCAAACCTGCAACAACAATCCCATTTAACTTCAACTGTGTTCATCATATGTTGGTTTTTTTATTATTTTTTAGCACAGACAAACAAACATTCAATCCCATTAATAAGAAAAAACTGCTCAGCTGTTTTGGTAAAGAGGTGTCCGAATCCGTCCCACAGTCCCTGACTTCTCCCCAAAAACTTCATGGTCCACACAGCAAAGAACAAGTTCTCGTATCTTAATCGAATGAAGGTCACTGCCTATAACCACCTTTAATTGAGCAATTTTTCATTATCATATTTTAATGACTTCCCACTGACAGTTGTGCTGCCCGAGAGAGAGGCAGCTATGATGAAGTCGTTTATTTCCCTATTTAGTGATTGTTTGACAACATCAGATTCGATTAGGACTTGCTTCTAGCAGGCATTAATCATGATGTGTGAATGGAGGTTATGTGCGCATGTGCTCTGCATCCTTTCCCTTCCATTGTAGCAGAGATGATGTCAACAGCCAAACAAAACGCGCGCGTTCATTCAGCATAAAGAAAAGACAACATTTTCATGGCAGGACAATACAGCCAGTGGACTTATCTCACCCCTGCACCTTCCAGCTAGAAGTCGCGCCCCCCCACACACACCCATCTCTGAATGGGCTATAATTGCTCCATTAATCTCAATTTGCCGTGTGCTCTTAATGCGGGGGAGGCCCCATTGACACTTTACAAAAAGAGGGGGCAACAACACTACAAGAGAAAGGAAATTTATTTTCTAATAATAATGTAAGTTTAATATCCCTGCATACTGCGGTGGATTCATGTTCAGATTTAATAATAGGAATGCGGTAATCGGATTAGGAGGGGAATAATTTGTTTACAATCCCTAATTTACAGCGCTGGATTCCATTATCAACCCCGCCATTGGGTTTAAGCGATAGTAAGATGACCCTGGGGAACAAAAGGCAAACTATTATATTTCCTACAATTAGATCTGCGCGCACAACAAAAACCCAAAAGCAAATCTGGAATGCAGGAAATTACATACAGGACACATAACGTGATTACATCCGGCCAAGTTTATAAGCGCGCACATGTGCGGGCAGGAGCGGAATATAAATGGACACATTTTACAAAACGTGCGCGCAACCTGCGCTTTTGACTGTTTGGAAGCTTCTCAATAATAATAATACTATACAAGTTTTCCTGTCTGTAAAAAAGAAGGGGAACCTGCATGGATGATGTATTCCTGCCTCTGAGAGGACAAATTAAAGAACATTAATTATAAATGACCGATTAATCAAGTTAATCTAATATTCACCATTACGTTGATGCTATTAAAGTGTATCGTGACGGAGTGGCTTCATTTACCCCACCCCTTCCATTTCCTGCGTGATCAAACGCGCCCAGAACGCACGGCGCTGACGCACGGAGCCATACCTGCACCCTGGCCTCGGTCAGGTTGATTTTCATGGCCAGCTCCTCCCGGGTGAACACGTCCGGGTAGTGAGTCTGAGCAAACACCGCCTCCAGAGCCTCCAGCTGCAGGGACACAAAACAAGCGCACACCAAGAGGAGCGTCAGTTCTAAATAATAAAAAAAAAAATCTTTCTTTCTTTCTTTTTCTTTCTTTCTTTCTTTCTTTCTTTCTTTCTTTCTTTCTTTCTTT